ATCGGGAGATTTGAACTGAGCAAACACAGTTTCAATCTTCTTCTACTCGCAAACAATCCGTATCGAAAAACAAGGCACGAAGTGATTGGTGGCGCGTTAGACGATTACATCATCAACTTAGATGAAGACATTGAAGTCCTGGCTCAGATGGGCACTGGTGCTAATCGAGTGTACTCTGGTCCTAGAAATGACGCCTACTCTGTCATTCTGGATAATTCCAAAGACGTAATCTGCGACCGGGGAGGTGAAAATATCGTTGCTATCATGTTGGAAGATGGCATGACGCTTCAAGACGTACAAATCATGCGGAACGGGAACAACCGTTACAGAATATCAAAAAAATTTGGTTACTCCTTACTTGATTATGTGTTCCATAGCGACAACGAGCAAGACAAGGTTCAGTTCCTTTTCAGAGGTAACACAGGCAAAGAAGTTGTCTTTAAGATGCTAAAGCGGCCGCAGTATGTTACGAACAGGTTTCTTGACCTCGTTAATATAAAGGACTATCATATCGGTTACGAATTCCTTTGTGAATACAGAGATATAATATTGAAGATTTCCCCTGCAAAAGGGGAGACACTTCATAAAGGGGAATGCAAGCGCAAAGATCCTGCACGGAAAACAAAATCCGGAAAATTGAAACATGCAAAGCATGGGAATGGGAAATGAAAAAAACGAATGTGAAAAAATATATTCGTAAATTCAACAGTGATTGCCTATCATTGTATGGTGAAACATAAACTACATTACGATAAGCGTTCTTAAAACATACAGTAGAAGCTTACTTCTGAGAGCAATCAAAATGGTTAACTTAGCCAAACAATTACCATCTTTCACCTAAAGTGGTAACAACCGCAGTTAAAGGAGTTGAAGCTATGAAGAACTTTCAAAACTTAAATATCGTTTTTGAAAGTTTTATAATATTGAAAGTCGCGTAGCATCGTGGAACCTTGTAGGTTAAAAAGCACCGAAATTTGCATTGTAAAACCTTGCCATCTTATACTCAATAAACTGACGTCCTTTCGAGGAGCTTATTCTCATCTCTTAGGCAAATTGGGCTGACGTTTTACAAAGGTAGCCATCAGTAACCACAAATAGATTTTGGATTGATTTTGGATTTCTTAGGTATAATAATTTACACCTTGTTTTGGCTTCTTATAGTTTTGTAAGGAGAAGATTAAATCTCTTCGATTTTATATGACACAAGCGCTTCTACATCACAGAACTGTTTGCGAATAGGGCTTTGACCTAGCCAACCAATTCCTTCTTACTCTATCTTTATGGCTTACTGTTGTCCTAAAGTTCATTGTTTCATTTATGCACTCACTCACATTTCCTTAAACAGGGAAACAATCTATGCGTAACAAGACACACATAGTCGAAGCCTTATGAATCCTAATATGTTTCCTGATGTCTCGGTCTTCAGTTTTCTGTTCACTTGTAGAGCAAACCCTGTATTAAGCGGACACCCTCGGGGAATGCTGTAGTGTCCGCTTAATACAGGGTGTCCGCCTAATACAGGTTTCGATAGATAACGTCATATGAGGTGTCAAATGCCATTTAAAAGAACAGTGGAAAGGTTAAGAATACTCCCAGAGATTTTGACGATATACGTTTGCATTAATTTCTTAATCAAAGTGACCAGTCGATCATAATACCATAAACAAAGATTGTAACTCAGATTTGAAGAAATAAGATGAGTGAAACAAGCTCTTTTCAAACAAAATGAAATAGAAAACAATACTGTACTGTGAAACTAATTAAATATGTTCGTCAAGTCACATTTTTTAATGTAAAAATAGAAAAATTTGTGGGAGGCAATTCGAGGCAATCTTCGCATTTCTGGTGTCTGGCACTGATTGGGAGGTGGCACTTTATTACAAGTGTCCGTTAAATACAGGTTGGCAACAATAGAAATGACCATTTTAGGTACTTTTTAGGTGTCCGCGTCCGCTTAATAGAGGTGTCCGCATAATAAAGGTTTCATTTAAAGCAAATAAGGGAAATAAATTTTGAGACTTCGGCTACTGTCCGCTTAATAGAGGGTGTCCGCTTAATACGGTGTCCGCTTAATGTAAGAGAAAGAGCTGTGTCACGATATTTATCAAAATTCAAAGTGGGGAACGGTCACCAAATACATTTAAACACAAAAAAGTTTAAATTATTACAAGTTGATATGAAGAACAAATCAAATACTAAGCTAGAAAGCCGTGTGGTAGCTCTTTTACGAAAAGCACAAGACCCAGACAACCACTGGTGCTGACCATTTTTTATGAAATTAAATAAGCCGCAACGTGAAATCTCCGCTGCAGCTACTACACCGGGATCAACCTTTTCGATTCGTTCTTTATTGTCAGTATCAACCCGTTCATCTGCTTTTTCTCGGCGATCTCCCTCGTGTGATACTTTTGATCCAAGTAATCAAGGTTCAAGGATAGACACTGCCTTTGTTTCGAGATTTTCAGTACGTAGGGGTTTCAATAGCCTTGGTTTGCAAGCACGTGACAAGATGGACATGTTGGAGGTCAGTACCATAAACATTTTTTTAACAGAATCTACGAGAAAAATGGAGTTAAATTTCCAGAGGAGAGAAATGTAAATGATCTCGGTCACCAACATGGCCGCCGTGACGTCACGTGCAAATCGGCAATAGACAGTTACGCTAAAATTTGACAGTAAAGCCAATTTCTGTCCAGGCCTCGGTTTGTTATCAAGTAAGGGTTTGTATCTTGTCCTTATACCTTTATTTAATTATACCCCCAAGTGAATGCGCGAGGGTCCTCTTCACAATTTCTTCCTTTAGACCATGTATACCAAGCGTTTATTGAGACCTCAGCGTCACGTGACCGTAAACATGGTTACATTGTGCCAGCAAAGTTACACTACAATGGAAAAACCTACACCGACAAACATGACATTGTCCATCAGTTCAATGAGTACTTTATAAATATTGGTCTAAATTTGCCATCTACAATTCACTCAAGTATAAAACCTGATGCTTTCCTCCCAGCAACTCATAGTTCTAGTTTTTTTCTTTCCCCGGTGGATTCAGCGCAAGTTGAGTTAGCACTCTCTGGCCTTGATAGGCACAAAGCCACCATAGATATCCCTAACTATCTAATCAAGATTGCCAGCAATCTGCTTTCAACTCCCCTCACAAACTTATTTAATGAATCAATTGAATCAGGTATTGTCCCGAATATTTTCAAGATCTCAAAGGTTACCCCAATCTTTAAGACTGGTGCAGTGACAGACCCTGGCAATTACCGTCGCATTGCTGTCCTCTCTCCGTTTGCTAAAATCCTTGAAAGACTAGTGAACAATCAGCTAAGTCATTTCCTAGAAAAGGAAAACATTCTTTTTAAACACCAATTTGGCTTCAGGAAAAATTGTTCTACTGAGCAAGCAATTCTTGAACTCACTGACAATCTTTAAATGAAAAGAGACAGCAATGAAGCTATATGCAGTATTTTTCTTGACCTATCTAAAGCCTTTGATACTGTCAACCATCAGATCCTACTACAGAAATTATACAGATACGGGATCCGTGGTGGCCCTCTGCAGTGGTTTAAAAGCTGTCTTGAAAGCAGAACACAGTATGTTGAAGTTGAAAATGCTAAATCAAACCCACTTTCTATCCAATATGGTGTACCACAAGGTTCTACCCTTGGCCCACTTCTGTTTTTGATATATCAGTGACATGCCCAGTTGTTTAGAAAAGGCAAATATTAGAACATTTGCTGATGACACCACTCTCTTCTACTCTTCCAATTCCCTACAGGACCTTGAAAAAACTATAAATGAGGAATTCAACTATCTTTTTAGCTAGTGCTCAGCTAATAAACTTTCTGTAAACTTTAAGAAAACCCACTATATGACAATCTCCTCCCTTCAAAAAGCAATTAAACTTAAGCTTAATTTACGCAATATTGAAGAAAAGAACTACATCAAAAACCTAGGTATCTACATTGACAAAAATCTAAATTGGGCTCCCCACGTTCAGCACATTAACAGAAAAATATCTAAAAACTTAGGAATCCTTTTCAGATTACGCCATTTCTTGACTTTAAACACTCTCAAACAAATATATTACTCACTTATCTACCCCTACCTTCATTATGGAATTGTGAGTTGGGGAAACACATACCAAAGTAGATTAACTAAAGTGCAAATAAAACAAAATAAATGTATACGCTGCATATTTTTTAGCCATAATAGAGAAAGTAGTGCACCCTACCTCAAACTTCTAGATATACTTAACATAGATAGCATTTTTAAACTCAAAATCTCCTTGCTAGCTCACGAAATCTCACAAAATGAAGCCAATATTGCTGAAGTGTTTCAAAACTACCTCGTAAAGGTGTCAGATATTCACTCACACGATACCAGATATGCCTCAAATCTTAACTTTCAAGTACCACGTGTAAGGTCAAATTACGGCAAACACACATTTAAGTTTGCTATAACCAAAACTTGGGAAGAGATTCCTTCTAAGATAAAAACACGTAGCCACCATAAGTTCAAAAAAGAATATAAGCGAATTCTAGTTAACTCTCAAAGGTAACAATTGTAATAAGACCGTCTCACATAACCTGACTGCTAGCATAATCGTCCATAGTTGCCATGGCACCAAGAGCACGATTATTATGTATTCCCAATAATAATATAGCGATGGTTAGCTCGAAAGTTAAGTTCCTCTGACCACCGTACACTTCTACCCAAGCCATTAATTTTCTTTTTTTCCCCTTCTTCTTCTCCTTTATTAGTGTATTCCTACCTTACCATATATAATGTAAATATTTTATAAAGTCTGAATAATAAAATTGAATTGAATTGAATTGAATTATGTCCTCACTTAGAATCTATTAAAACTGACACTTTCAATTATTCAACCGACTCTATTGTATAAAACTTTTTATCTTGTTACGCTCTGTTACACTTACCGAACCCAAGGAAAATAATCCGATATCAAGGACCAGTCTAGCTTCACTAACCTCACCATGGAAGTTCAACAGATGTTTGAGAATCTACGGAAGGAAGCTGAGTGTGCACTGTGTTTAGAGACAGTCAACAATCCCAAGACTTTGCCATGTCTTCACTCATTTTGCCTCGAATGTCTCGAAAAACGTGCAGGCTTTGCAAGAAAACAGCTGCAAACAAAGGTTAAATGTCCGGTTTGTCAGACATCACTAGAAATCCCTGAAGGAGACACCTTTAACAACTTGCCCTCATCTTTCCGTCTCAAAAAATTGGTGGAATTACTTGCTTTAAGAGATCGCAGTGTAAGGGCCCAGAAATGTAGCGACTGTGATGAAAACAATATCGCATCCTCATACTGTTTCGTGTGCCAGAACTTTCTCTGCACTGCTTGTTTTGAGGCTCACCAGCGCCTAAAGATTACCAGAGGTCATCGCAGTGTTGTGATAGAGAAGTTGCAAGCGCCAGATGTTCAAGAGTTTATCAATAGACCAATCATGTGTTCAATGCAATATCACGAGAATCAACCGCTGGAATTTTATTGCTTCGAATGTAAAATTCCAATTTGCCTTAAATGCAGTGTTGTGAGCCATAATCGACACGCCATGACAGACACTCGGAAAGTCGCAGAATTACAGAAGATGCAAATGAAGGATGCTTTGGAGAAAGTGGAAGCGTTGACTGTTATTTACGAGAGAGAAATAAAGAAGCAAACAGAGGTGATAGAAAAAAGCAGAAACGAAGTTATGACTGCAGAAAAAAAAATGATAGGCGCTGTGGAAGAGTGCATTCATCAGTTGCAGAAGCATGAGAGCACTATGAAGGTCAGGTTTGCTGAAATTTATGAGGCGCAACAAAAGTATTGCAAAACTCGACTAGAAAACTTTGATTTGTTTCTTACTCAACTGAACAGTTGCGTTGAACGAGGTGAGGGCATCGTACAAAGAAAGATCAGTGCTGAAATTCTTCAAACACACCAGGCCTTTATTGAACACTGTGAAGAACTTCTGAAGGCAAGAAAACCTGACATTTACAAACCTTCACACGTGCATTACATGGTGGAACAGAAAGGGTCCATTTTGGATCGTATTGTGGTTAGTAACACAGATCCCTCGCTGACGTTACTAGAAGAGGAGGGCCAGAAAGAGAAAACAGAAAAAGCAGAAGCAACTTTTACCATTGTAACAAGAGATTCGGCTGCCCTGCAGTGTTATAATGAAGACGATCAAATAAAAGTCAGCATTTCAACTCCAACAGGTGATCAACTGCAAACAGAGATAAAAGACACCAAAAACGGCAAGTACACAGTAACATACACACCACAGTGCGTTGGACAACATAGAGTAGAGATCCAAGTAAATGGACAACCACTGACTGGTAGTCCCTGGTTTGTTCAGGTGATTCCGCGTCCGTATCAATTTTTGTTTCAATTTGGATCAAAAGGGAAAGAACAAGGGCAGTTTAATAGACCTTTCTTCATCACCGTAAGTGACAAAACTAGTAGGATTGCAGTGGTTGACTTTGACAATAAAAGAACCCAGATTTTTAGCTTTGATGGAAAATTCCTCGGTGAAAGGCCTTTCTTTTTCGTATTCACTGGATCTAATGGCGAATTTTTCTTTCTCAATGATGACAACAATCAGATTTCCCTGTGTGCTGAAGATGGTAAGCTCATAAGGAACATTGATCGGAGACTTTTTAAGACATTCACTTACATCGTTTGTGGAACTGATGGCCATTTGATTACATGTGAAAAAGACGACAAAACGATCAAAGTTTTAACCTCTGACTGGAAACACGTACTAAATTCCTTCAATGCTCCGGATTGTGACGCAAAGCCGTGGTGTGTCGTTCTTCACCACAAGAAATTCTTTGTTTCTTATCCAAAAGCTAACCGTGTCATGGCATTTGACGGAATTATTTTAATAAGCGCCGCGGCGCTTTCACACAGGAAAGGGTGCCCACTTTAGAGCCCGAGTTGCAAGATCTCAACCTTATACTCGCTCTAATTCTGGCGTAGGTACTCAGGTACCGTTTCTGGGCATCAATTGTGAACGCTGCCTTAAAACCAACTGTTCTAAGACCTAGCTAGTTTCAAAACAAGATTACGGTACTCGTACGTATACTAAGTTACTCCAACTGTTTAAAATACATGGCTGATTTCGAAAAATGTGAATGACAGACATATCAACCTGTCAAACTTCTATAAATAGACACGTTTTCTCACCAAAGTCTTTGGGATACCATAGAGGGGTAAGGCAAGGGCCCCCTGTTAGTCCATATCTATTCATCCTTGTGGTACTGAGTAGAAAGCTTTCATAAGATTGTCCAAAATCCAAGATGTATATTCATTGAGCTAGTATATCATCAAGAAGTCAAAATCTCAGATCACAAACAACTATTAAAGATTTGGCCATTTCACCATAAGTGCATAGCAATTTGTGGCTAAGAACAAAATGCTGTAGTTCGTTTTTTATTTAATTTAGAAGTACTTCAAAAGATCTAAGTAGAATTCTAGGAGGAAAAAAGTGCATGATTCTTAATTATTCAATAGGCTATTTCAGTTATATCAAGAAATAAACATTGAAAAGAACTTCCTCAGCAAGAATATTGAAATTGAATTAATTTTACAGTGTTCTAGAGACCTTACCTCTTACAGCCAATCTTTACTAGAAAAAACATTAGAGGTTTCACAAAAATTGCAGAAGTCCATACTACACTGTCTTCTTTTTCGGGAAATGTTAAAAAAAAATAGCAAAGGGACTGTCTTTAGGTTACTTTCTTGAAAATCTAATTATGGAGTAGTAATTATAATAGAATAATAGAATAATCTATATTATGCTTTGGTCGTTATAGATGGCTGATGTTACAATCTAGTTTATGCCGGAAAATCATGTGCAAGCTAGGAAGCTAAATGAACCAGCTGTTGTTTTTCTTGTTAGCTCCCTCAGCTATTTAGGTACTAGGTTGAAGCTAGCTGGTAAAAATCAATCAATGAATCAATAAAGTCAAAGAAGAGCAAAGAAGGAAGAACTTATTTACATGAAGTATGTTGTTTCATTGGCAAGAAGAAAATGATTTCATTTCAGTGTTCTGACTTTATTGTTGAGTTGAAGTTCTCCAATGAAAAGTACTTCAGTGACTCTTTTGTCGATAGTTGTTGGAACCAAACTTCATTACATCACTTTTTCATTACGCTTTGAAGATTTGATTTAGCTAAGCACTGTTATATGTATTTTTATTCCTTTTGTTTTGGTGTTACCTCAAGCTGATTGTTGTGATCTGATGAAAGGTAGATATTTGCGCCAGCAAAGAGAGCTCTACGGCCAAATTGCATTTTTGTTAAAGGGGCCCTGTCACGGCAGTCCAGTTCATTTTGTTTAATTTTGCCAATTACTCGCCCTCAATCGCTACGGAACTTAAAGTAAGCAAAGAAATTACATGTAAATGACAAATTCAGAGATCCGAGACAAACAAATATGTCTCCTGAGCATTATTTTTGAAGTTGCAAGCAGCAGGGATCAACTTTGAAAAACTGTTAGGCTGAAGAGTTTTCAAAAATCCTAATTTCAATCCGTTTCAATCTTTTTCAGTTTTGCCCATCCGTGACATCTGTTGTTTTTGTTATGCTATTTTAACCTTCCTTTAAAATTTTAAGCGGTTATTTTTATGTTTCTCTTAATTTAACGAGAATTTTGTAATTTCCTAATTTGGCTGGACTTTGTTTCCTTCTCGACTTAGTAACACCACGGACCGAATTTCTACATGTAAACCCAACGAAAAGTAGTTCCGCCTTTCGGGATCTCTCTGGTGCTAGGATCTTTCTCCCTCCATGGAATACAGCTACCAAGGTCAGGGTTTTAGTCATTGGGAGGGTCCATTCTGTGTATCATTCAAAAGATAGTAGAAAGAAGAACATAGTCTGCGTCGCAGACGTAATTTAACTCAGGTTAGTAACGTTAGCGAAACAGTGCCGAGATCCTGTTCTGATCCCCCAACGGATATCAATCAATCACCAGAGGTGCGTTTCCAAGTTCCTTTCGTCCTGATTGGTAAATCGACAATGGTTTTTTTAACGAACCAATCATGGCGCGTTTTCAAATTCTGTTACACAGGTGGGGGCCCAGAACATGGACTGTTTGGCGCTTTTTGTCAGGCGGGCTTAACCAGAGTTTAGTTTCGTCTGTGGGGCAGGCTAAGAGAAGAAAATCAATTACTTTCGACTCATATTAAAGAGTGGTTTCTGTTCGGTTCAGTTACGCAGTGGATTTCCATAACTACCCACTAAAGGGGAGAGGGACACTCGCGCGACTATTTGGCTGCGATGCACTCAGCTGTGCATTTCCAAGCATTGTTCAGCCCCAGTCGCAGTTGGCTGGTTATGCATATAAAATTTGCCGCTCCCTCATTGCCCTGCATGTTGCAAGCGCTTTAGCTGGAAAATGGATATTCGTCAACTCTTTGCCAGCCTTAGAAAAGAGGCTGAATGCCCACTTTGCTTAGGAACGGTCAACAGTCCCAAGACTTTGCCTTGTCTTCACTCATTCTGCCTCGAGTGTCTCGACAAACATGCTGGCTTCGCAAGAAGACAGCTACAAGCGACAATCAAATGTCCGGTTTGTCAGACATCTTTTCAAATCCCTGAAGGAGACTCGTTCAAGAACTTGCCCACATCTTATCACCTTAACAGACTGGTGGATGTTCTCGCATTAAAAGGTGGCAGCGAACAAGCCCAGAAATGCAGCAGTTGTGATGAGAACAACAACGCATCCTGTTTCTGTTTTGAGTGCCAAAATTTTCTTTGCACTGCTTGTGTTAAAGCTCACCAACGTTTGAAAAGCAGCAGAGGTCATCGCAGTGTTATGATTGAGAAATTGCAAGCGAGAGATGTGGAGGAATTAATCCACAGACCCGTCATGTGTTCACAGCAATACCACGAAAATCAACCGCTGGAATTTTATTGCGATGAATGCAAAGTTCTCATTTGCCACAAGTGCAGCGTAGTGAGCCATAATCAACACACCATGACAGACATTCAGAAAGCCTCGCAGTTACAGACGATGCAGATGGCGGAGGGTTTGAAGAAAGTTAAAGCGGAAACTGTTATTTACGAGAACGAGACAAAGAAGCAAAACGTGTTGATGGACAAAGCCAAAAACGATGTTTTGTCAGCCAAAAAGATGATGGCAGACGTGGTGCAAGAATGTATTTGCAATTTACGACAACACGAGAGGGCAATGAAAGCCAAGTTTACTGAAATATGTGAAGCGCAACAAAAGCATAATATTGCACGTCTAGAAAACTTTGAGGTCGCTCTTGCTCAAATGAAAAGTTGCGTTGAACAAGGTAAAAAAATCTTAGAAAGAAATGTCAGCGCTGAAATTCTGCAAACAAATCAAATCATAGTCGAACGATGTGAAGAACTTTTAAATTCCAAAACACCTGAAATTCATGAGCCACCACTCGTGCGTTACATACTTGAAAATAAACTTAACATTTTGGACTGCATTGTGGTTAGTAACACAGATCCTTCCCTATCGTTAGTTAAATTGGACAGTAACATAGAAGTACTGGGAAACACAGAAGAAAATTTTACCATTGTAACCAGAGATTCTCGTGGGTTGAAGTATTATCAGGAAGATGATCAAATAAGAGTACACATTTCAACGTCAGCAGGTGATGAACTGGAAACGGAGATAAAAGACACCAAAGACGGCAAGTACAGTAACATACACTCCACAGTGTGTTGGACAACATAGAGTAGAGATCCAAGTTAATGGACAGCCGCTGACTGGCAGTCCCTGGGTTGTCCAGGTAATACCTCACCACTATCAATTTACGTTTCAGTTTGGATCACACGGAAAAGATCAAGGAACGTTTAACAGTCTTAGGGATATTGCCTTGAGTCATCAAAGTAGGACACTTGCTGTCGCTGATGTTGAAAATATGAGAATTCAGATGTTTACCTTGGAAGGAAATTTCCTTAGGGAGATCACACTAGAGAATGAGCCCTGTTCATTGGCTTTTACCAAAACTGGTGACCTCCTTGTCTCTATCCCTTATGACCACAATAAACTTTCCCTTTACACTGAGGGTGGCCAATTCATTCGATATATCAGCAATGAACATGTCAAAAAACCGTGGTACATATCTGTAGCTACTGATGGTCGCATAATCACTTCTGACAAGGGTGACAATACAATCAAAGTTCTTAGCCCTGATGGAAAATACTTAATTCAGTCGTTCAGTGCTCCTAGTTGTGATGCAGAGCCACGGTGTATTGTTTATCACCAGGATAAATTCTTTGTCTCCTATACTGAAGCTCATCGTCTCGTCGTCTTCAACAGCGCAGGAAATTATCTATATGACATTGGCAGCAAGGGATCTGGTGCCGGACAAATGACAGGACCTTGAGGACTTGTTTTTGACAAGTTTGACCGTTTGATTGTTTGCGATGCAGTAAATAGAAGACTGGTTCTTTTTACCCCTGATGGAAAGTTTGTGGCTGAGGTAGCTGAGAGTTCTCCGAAATATGGTTTCCTTACCTTTTGTGCTGTGTCTAACACTGGACATTTGTTCGTTACTGACGTTGAAAAAAACTGTATTCATGTTTTTCATTAGTATCACAACTGTTCGTCTTTCGCAGAACTTTTAGATATATTTTATCAAGGGACTGAAGTGCTGAACTTAATAAGAGAAAGAGCTTTCAACAAAGAACCAATTACAGACATGGAAAAATATACCGTACTGATTTAAAGTTTATGGGATTATGTTAATGTGAACGCCAGTAATTAAGTTGAGGGAGTCTACATCATGAGACGTGGGTTTATTCGGTTTGTGTGAAAAGAGAAGTGTTTTTCAGCCACATTATTGGGGTTGCATGTTGAAAAGTACAAAAAGACTCATTAAGTCCATTTCACTTGTTTTTTAATGAATTTTGGCCAAACGCTAGGATTGGGTGAGTAAACTGCTTTTGGAGAAACACCCACGCTGAAATTCAAGCAATGATTTTCATGTCAACCATGTTTGGGTCTAACAAAAAATTATTCAAATTTGTTGGAGTGTGCTTAAAAAAAATAAACAGTGAAATCCAGGCAAGCAGACACATACTATCCAGTCTTGTATTTCTCAAACATGGTTTCTGAAAAATGACTCACCCAAGGTTGGAAAAGCTGTATCCATGGAAAATGACTATCCCTAACCCAGAGAATTATTGACAAAATAATCAAGCAATCCCCCAATTAAACTTAAAAAGAGATACTTAAAGCTACAATGTGTATCGAACCATGGATTCTTGGTAAATGACAAACCCTATCAAGTTTTCTTTTTCTTTGTTTAGTGTCATGAAATGACCATATCTTGCCACATGCAAAGGCGCCATATTTTTCATTCCAGTAGACCTTTATTCATAACATAAAATTGACTTAGTAGGCTCGATTACCAGCCAGCCCGGGAGACGGCGGAAATCGAGCCTAAAAGCTTAGGAACCTGCTCCAACAGGAAGACAATATACAACTTCTAACAAATTGAAAATTCACACTTCTCACAAGTACACGGCGTCTTGTAAATTATGTAAGTTTACGTTGTTTCTATTTCCTTTGTAGCAAAACACAAAAGGTCAATGTCCATTTTGATTAACTCTAAATTTAAGCTTAGAAGCTGATAATCATCTGTAGAGGTTCTGTGTAAATCAACGAACACAAAAAAGATCATTTCTTTTGCTTCAGAAAAATTAAACAAGTAGGAAGTCCAGTTTTGTTGTTTTTCTTTAATCGCTTAGCTTGTTTCTCTGCAATGGCCCATCAAAAGAACCTGGGACAGAAGTAATTGTTCCATACGACTCTAATTCTCATACATTTTTGATCGGTTTTTGACTCATTCTTTCCTTTCCCCCCCCCAGCCCCTTTCACCAAAAGAACAACAAAGGAACTCATTTCCACCTATCTTGCTCGAAATTCAACATTGTTTGAGGTGAGAGGGGGAGGTCATCAGTTTTAGTAATAGCACGTGAAAAGGCCTATCATTTTTACGTCCATAGTAGGGCTTGTGATGTTACATAACTGATGGAATTTCTATTGAGCCACACAAGAATTATTTTTGTTTGAGACATCAATGTCAAATCTGCAGATGAGAGATACAGTTAGTTTCGTGTTTGAACCTACTGTCATGATAAGCGAACAGTTTTGGATTCTAGGAATTGAGGAACCCATGTGAGTGGTAGATTAACCTAAGAAACTCGTTCTGACTCGCATCGACGAACACCCGCTGCCATTGACATTGACGTTCAACACCCATTCTAAACACCATAGTCAAAACTTTGAATTAATTCTCCTTGTCACGCTATACCCTCTGTTAACCACCCAAATCACATACCACTGATTCGTCTAGCTCTACCAGCTTTAGCCATGGATGTTCAACAGCTTTTTACAAATCTCAGTAAGGAAGCGGAATGCCCTCTGTGTTTAGAAACGGTCAATAATCCCAAGACTTTGCCATGTCTTCACTCATTCTGCCTCGAGTGTCTCGACAAACATGCTGGCTTCGCAAGAAGACAGCTACAAGCGACAATCAAATGTCCGGTTTGTCAGACATCTTTTCAAATCCCCGAAGGCGATTCGTTCAAGAACTTGCCCACATCTTATCATCTCAACCGACTGAAGGATGTTCTCGCTCTTAAAGATGGCAGCGCACAGGCCCAGAAATGCAGCAGTTGTGATGAGAACAACACTGCTTCCTCTTACTGTTTCGTCTGCCAGAGCTTTCTATGCACTCCTTGTTTTGAAGCTCACCAACGCTTGAAGGCCACAAGAGGTCATCGCAATGTTGTGATAGAGAAATTGCAAGCACAAGATGTGGAGGATTTGATCCACAGACCCGTCATGTGTTCACAGCAATATCACGAAAATCAACCGCTGGAATTTTATTGCGAAGAATGCAAAGTTCCTATTTGCCACAAGTGCAGTGTAGTCAGCCATAATCGACACACCATGACAGACACGCAGAAAGCTGCACAAGTACAGAAGATGCAAATGACGACGCTTTAGAGAAAGTGGAGGCGAAAATTGTTGTGTACGAGAAGGAAGTAAGGAAGCAGAATGAGATGATACAAAAAAGCAGAAACGAAGTTATGTCTGCAGAAAAGAATATGAAAGAGACTGTGAACGAATATATCTGTGAATTGCAACAACACGAGAGGACCATGAACGACAAGTTTGCTGAAATTTATGAAGCGCAACAAAAACATCAATTAACGCAACTAGAAAATTTTGAGTTATTTTTAACTCAACTGAAAAGTTGCGTTGAGCGGGGTGAGAGTATCATTGAAAGAAACATCAGCGCTGAAATTGTGCAAACTAATCAGACCATTATTAGACGCTGTGAAAACCTGCTAAATGGGAAAAAACCGGAAATTTATCGACCTTCCCATGTGTATTACGTGGTGGACAGGAAAGTGAATGTTTTTGATCGCATTCTGAGCCTAATAAGCATTAGTGATCCGTCGATTTCGTTACTTGAGGTGGAAAGTCAAAAAGATGTAACAGAAAAAAAAGAAACAAATTTCTCCATTGTAACTAGAAATTCGAATGGGAAGCAATGTTATCAGGGAGATGTTGAATTAGAAGTCAAAATTTTCACTCCAGCAGATGATCAACTAAAAACAGAGATAAAAGACACCAGAGACGGCAAATACACAGTGACATACACACCACAATGTCTTGGACAACATAGAGTAGATATCCAAGTTAATGGACAGCTGCTGACTTGTAGTCCCTGGTTTGTGCAGGTAATTCCGCATCAGTATCAATTTTCTTTTCAGTTTGGATCAAAAGGGAAAGGGCAGGGGGAGTTTGGCCATCCATCCTTAATTGCTGTAAGTGATAAAACGGGAAGGATTGCTGTGACCGATACCGAAAATGACAGAATTCAGATTTTTGACTTCGAGGGAAGATTCCTTGGAGTAAAGCTTCCTGCCTCTTTCGTATTTACTGGATCTGATGGAGGCTTTATTTACTCAGTGGTGGAAGACAATGAACAAATTTTCCTGTGTACTGAAAATGGTCAGCACATTAGGAGCATTGACCGTAAACAATTAAATGAACCAACCTGTGTTGTTTTAGAAAATGATGGCCGGCTCATCATATGTGACTTAAAGGGTAAAAAAGTTAAAGTACTTACTCCTGATGGAAAACATGTACTTTGGTCGTTTAGCGCTCCAGGTTGTGATGTAGGTCCGGTTTATGCTGTTCATCACCGGGACAAATTATTTGTTTCATATCCAGATGCTAACCGTGTCATGGCATTCAACAACATTGGAGAGTATGTCCATGACATTGGCAGCGAAGGATCCGGTGACGGGCAGTTGATGTTTCCCTCTGGACTCGTTATAGACAAATTTGGCCATCTCATCGTTTGCGATACAGGAAATAGAAGACTGCAACTTTTTACACTTGATGGCAAATTCATCACGAGGATATCAGAGAGCTTTTTCGAAAATGGCGTTCTTGCTTCTTGTGCCGTGTCTAACAATGGACATTTGTTTGTTTCTGACATCGATAAAAACTGCGTTTATGTTTTCAATTGCAGCTCTAAGTAAACACACATTCCGCGTGTGCAGAGAACTCAAGAAATGCAAAGGAGCCGGGTACCAGCTATTACTCTAAAAAATTACCAAAGTGATGAAATGTTTTTGAGTTTGCATCACTTTAGAGACTGGATTGATCTTATGCTATATAAGAAATGCATTCCAACGTCTGGGGCAGCAACTTAAAAAAATATATCTCCATAAGACTTTATAGTAAACTTTGTTATTAGACCTTATTACAATGAGATTGTTTAAGGATGATCTTAGTTGCTGGTCTAATGACTCGGTTACTAGACTGTTGCATGTTATTCAAATTTTTTATTTCTATACTTTTTACTACATACGTCGCATCATTTTTACGCTTTTCCACATCATACCGTTTTTGTACGTATATAGCTCCGCGCGGAATATTTTCTCATCCCTGATAATGCCACCGTCATGGTCGAAAGCGTGGATTCTAATTTCGGTTTTTAAAACAGCAGTTTAAGACCTCATTTGAACAATTTTTTTATCTGCTAGCTGTATACAAGGTGTATATAAGTGCATACAAGGTGTATATAAGGTGAATACGAAGGCGCATACAAAGTGTTATATAGGGTGTATACAAAGTGTTATATATAGTATATAGAAGGTGTATCGGGTCGATCATGTGCCCACAGAAAATAGATTATGTCCATTATGTGAATCAAAACAAGTTGAAAATGAGACTCGTTTCCTGTTTCAATGTCAGAAGTACTCTGCACAGCGGCAAGCTTTCTCAAACAAAGTCCAAGGAATAGAACCTAACTTTGAGAAGAAAATCCAAAAATCGGGCCCGGGGCTGGGAAATTGTTTGTAGCGGTCCTGTCCCACGTGCGGGGGGTAGGGCAAATAAAAAATATCTTCTTTTTGGTTTTGCGAGGTACGTGTTATTTTTCACGAGGTTTACACAATGGCTGCGGACTTCAAGACTACGTGTTTTTAAGGAAAAACACAGGATATTTGTCGGAGAGTCGTTGGAGAGGAATAACCTATCAAAATTAAAGTCTGTACTAAAAGGTACGTTTTAAAATTTGAAACGAATGTGCGCATGATGCGTACTCGAATGGATTTTATTTTCTGGAAAGGAAGGACAGAAATATTTCTTCAGCTTGGCTTAAAATAATGATAAGTTTTTATATGAAAACGAATACAAGGTTTTTGATATATACAGAGAAACAGAGATTCGGTTTAGTGTTCTCATGAAGTGCTCTATCAAGGAGGCGCTTGTTAAAGGGTTTCTCTTCTTCGTTTTCGTTTTCAAATTCATTGTTCATGTTTTAACTCATTATGACATCCATTATCCTTTTCTCAATAATTTATAAATAGTTTATAAACTTAGGAAAACGTTCATACAAGTTTCGAAAACGTTTCTTTTTGCTTTTGTACGGAGAAAAAAAGATGTAGCAAAAAACGTATATGACGTCGATCAGGAGCTAGGGGGTGGGAATTCAGTAGACCTGCGCCGTTCTAAACCTATTATTTCAGTGGTCCCCTTTAATCTGCACTTCCATTGTTTTCAGGGATAGGGGCATTGTTATGTGACAATCCCTATTGTTTTCCCAGCTAACAAAAAAACAGTCTTTCAAATAGGTGCGGGCTCGGGGAATTGTCTCCTTCTATGTGCCCAGAGGTGGGGAATAGACCTCCACAAAAAAAACCTTGCAAATGCCCGGGGCAGGGGCACATTGAACCGTGCATTATTTGCATTGAATTATAATACTATTAATTTTTCTTTGCCTTGTAATTGATTTTAGAAATGAATGAAAAGAGCATTAGCTTTTGTAATATCATACGGTCGTACAAATAAAGCATTCTACTTTCACAAGGTGTACACAGATTTATAAAATAACCAAGATAGTACACGCGTTCTTATTGGTTAAAAAACTATGGTTTATTGTGCCGGTAAACTCATGAAAAAACTTAAAGTTATTTTATAAAAGCAATAGACAGCACTTTCTATGGGTTTACCGGCGTGATAACCCACTTGGGATGTTGGGAGAACACTCGAAAAGCTTGTAAATCACTCGCCTTCGGCTCGTGATTGACAAGCATTTCTCGTGTTCTCCAAACATCCCGCGTGGGTTATTACGACGGTAAACCCATAGAAAGTGTGGTCTGTTGTTTGTCATTTCGCAGTGTGTAGCGGCAAGATCACAGTCGCCTTTTCTAATATATTCATGAACAAGGTAGAGACGGAAATCCTTAGCCAAAGCCTTTTTAAACCGCTCGTTTGGAAACGTTACATAGACGACATCTTCTCGCTCTGGACTACAAACAGAGACAGAATAGAACATTTCATTGAACAAGTAAACAGTCATCACCCTACGATCAAATTTACGGCTGAAATTTCCGATAAGGAAACAACATTCCTGGACACCTACATCTACAAAGGGAAAAAATTCGAAAGAAACGCAATCCTTGATGTGCGTCCTCATTTCAAAACAACTGAAACATTTCAGTATACCCATTTTGCTTCCTGTCACCCGCAAGGAGTTAAAAAAGGCTTCATTAAACGGGAAGCCCTCCGACTCCTCAGAACAAACTCTTCCAAAATAATATTCGAAGAGAAAATTACAAATTTCAAAGCGCATCTGCTACAGAGGGGTTACCCAGAGGATCTTACTAACACAACCCTCTCAGAGGTGAACTTCAAAGACAGGAAACTAGCCCTTCAACAGAAACCAAAGACAAACCAACGAATCTTGCCTTTTGTCACACAATACCAACCATCAGTGCCAAACCTAAAGCAAATTCTCATGAAAAACTGGCATTTAATAGAACAACAACCATTACTGAGCGAAATCTACTAAAAACCGCCCATCGTATCTTATAAAAGAAGGCGGTCGCTCAAAGACATACTCGTGAGAGCCAAACTATAAAAAGGCTATTTTAACACGCGCTGGGGAGTCGTGTAGGCCTGTCAACCCCATTTTACACTGTTTGTGACATGTTTCACTTTTATTCCCCCTTTTCTTCTTTTGCTGGGCATTTACTAGGCTTTATTGCAAGTAGAAAAGTTTTCGCGAACACCCCGAGGAACGTGAATTTCTGTACAAGGAAGTACAGATGGGTTGTGAAGAAGATTTTCATTGAAATAATCTGGTAAAAGTTAAATGATTTTTCAGTTGTTTTTCTCTGGCCTGTTTGACTCAATCGCGTTCAACTGGGTATGGTTTGAAAGATCTTGGCCCCCTTCCACAAGTTACATCTCAAAGTTGTCTGTGACAGTTCAAATTTGCTGACACGGAAGTAGTTCTGCGAGCGTCATGGTTGCTGAAGCTCCCTAAACTCTACTAGTTATACCCTTCGACGTACGTGTGTTAAAATGGATCAAGTGAAGGTTTGTTTTGCTCTTTTGAGTCTTGTACGTGACGTCTCAACCCAACTTCCAAACGTTTGTGTCCCGGCCATTTACAAATAAAACAAATATTGCATCTGAAATAAACGCACTTTCAGTGCGAATTTTGATTTAAAACCTCGTCACGGAGAGTGTAGGCTTACTTAGATAACAGAAATAACATTGTAGCATTTCTTCCGTTTCTTCCGCTGCAAATCATCATTGGAGTAATCTGACTTTTTACATCATCTCTTTCAATTATGGTGATTTCCGTATTTTCTCAATATTTTCTTAAATAGGTTACTTTTTTCTGAAGGAAAAGAATACATTGTAGCTAAGTGTATTAAAGTGGTATTCAGCTTATTCCTTATATAAAATCTGCATATCAATACATTGTAGTTGGTCAGGAGTGAAAAGTTACCTACAGGTATGTCTCCAAAGAGGATCCTGAATGTCGACTTATCTTATTTGCTCAAGTGTGCAGAATTTTTTTTATATATAGATTTTAGAAAATAAGAACCTGTTTCAAATTTTAGGCTAAACAGGTTCTTGACTGTTTAGAGGGCGCCTAAATGACCTAAATGGCAAATTTTAGCCGAACAGGTTCCCAGGTTCTTACTCGCGGGTTTTTCACAGTTAAACTTTTGGTGTGTTTGAGAGATACGTGGACCAGTCATATATTTATAACAGACTTATTATCTGTAAAGGACAAGTGCATTAACAGTGATATTATTTTATTCACGTAATTAAAGTTTGTCTTTATCAAGAAAGTGTGAAACGTAACCTCTACCACGAGCACTTCATTGGTATTGACTAAACTCTGCCAGATCTTTAATTAATTGACACTCTTTAGAACTTTATTCATGGGTAAAACGAAGGATTAACTTGCCTTCAGAAATGATTTATCATATTTTAACCCCTTTGCCCCTGGAATTTTTGCCGAAAACAGCAAGCCGTTCGCTGATCCAGTTAAAAGGAGCAAAACCACGTGCACCAAAACGTTGTTTACAAGTCGAGCGCTAGCTTTTAGTGCTTTTAAAAAGTTCAGGCATGAGTAGAAGGCAAAATTTTGAGTGAGTTTTTGGAGAAACGTTTAGTTTTCGTTTTCTCTCCTCCTCGCTTGTGGCATGTTTCACTTTTATTCCCCCTTGTCTTCTTTTGCTGGGCATTTACTAGGCTCTATTGCAAGTAGAAAAGTTTTCGCGAACACCCCGAGGAACGTGAATTTCTGTACAAGGAAGTACAGATGGGTTGTGAAGAAGATTTTCATTGAAATGTTCTAGTAAAAGTTACATGATTTTTCAGTTGTTTTTCTCTGGCCTGTTTGACTCAATCGCGTTCAACTGGGTATGGTTTGAAAGATCTTGGCCCCCTTCCACAAGTTACATCTCAAAGTTGTCTGTGACAGTTCAAATTTGCTGACACGGAAGTAGTTCTGCGAGCGTCATGGCTGCTGAAGCTCCCTAAACTCTACTAGTTATACCCTTCGACGTACGTGTGTTAAAATGGATCAAGTGAAGGTTTGTTTTGCTCTTTTGAGTCTTGTACGTGACGTCTCAACCAAACTTCCAAACGTTTGTGTCCCGGCCATTTACAAATATCACAAATATTACATCTGAAATAAACGCACTTTCAGTGCGAATTTTGATTTAAA